CTGCTCGGGGCTGAGCTCTGCCCCTACCTCGGCCTCTAGCACGGCCTCGGCCTCGCCTTCTGCCCCTAACGGGAGCTGTCTGGGGCTCGGACTACTGATCAGAAGATGAGGAAGCACGTGTCTCGCCATCTACGAAAAAACAGAGTAGAAATTCAATTAGCGTTGAGAAACCAAACCGCACGACAAGAAAGAACAAATGTGAAACTTTTCCTAACTCGGTAGCCTTTGGGGGATAAATACAGACGTCTCCGTACCGATCCCTCAGACTCTACTAAGCTTGTCCGTGAGTTGTGAGACCTATGTAACCTAGAGCTCTGATACCAACTTGTCACGACCCGGATTTCCCACCCTCGGGAGTCGTGATGGCGCCTAATAATGAGAGCTAGGCAAGCCAAATTTAATTACTTGTCCATTAATAATCTAATCCATTTAACAATTTACGGCAATATTACAAAAACAGCGAAATTCAATAATAAGCGGAAGTCTTAACATTTTATAAAACTGAATAAAAATGCAAAAAGTTCAACAAAATCCTCTACCCAAGACTGGTGTCACTGTACTCACGAACTGCTAAGAATACTACATACCAACGTCTGAAAGAGAATATAAGTTGTTTGTCTCGATTACAATGAGATAACAGATAAAAATAAAGGATAAAGGAGACGCCGGGCCTGCGGACGCCTGCAAGGCTACCTCGGGTCTCGCTGAAATGAAGCTTGCTCTCACACTACGGCTGCTGCTGCGTCGATACCTAGACCGGTCAAAATAGCACAGAGTGTAGTATCAGCACAACCGACCCCATGTGCTGGTAAGTGTCTAGTCTAACCCCGGCGAAGTAGTGAGGAGGCTAGACTGGACCACCACATAAACATGTGCAGTTATATACATACAGCGGAATCGAAATACAAGACAAGTAAACAATATGGGAGGGGAAGCATGCTGTAGGGAGATAACAGTATTAACAGTAAATCCAGAGTAACAGTCTAAAGGCAGCTTAGAATTTACAGCGGACAAAAGACTAATATCCAAAATAAACACACTTGTATCAATAATTGTTGCGGCGCGCAACCCGATCCCAATATATATAACAACACTGTTGCGGCGTGCAACCCGATCCATATCGTTTAGCATTGTTGCAGCGTGCAACCCGATCCACAAATATCATTGTTGCGGCGTGCAACCCGATCCATATCATTTAGCATTGTTGGGGCGCGCAACCCGATCCACAATTATCATTCAATGCACGGCATCACCCTTCGTGCTTTAACACTCTTCCTCACCCAATCAACAAATCACAAACAAGGGCAAGGGAATAATAAAACAAGAATGGAAGTCCCGGCAAGGGTACACAAACAAACAAATAAAAACCCGGCAAGGGTACAACATCAATAACCAACAACGTTCCGGCAAGGGAATAAATCATTAACTCTTCTTTTTCTTTCACTTTCATCTCAAAATTCACACTATCACTTGAGCCAATGCTCCAAGGAGTTACTTATCTCATACACCTTCACAATTTATATTTCAACCCGAGCTAATGCTCCACGAAGTTCAAAGATCACAATCTCTTTCACAAGATCTTTACAACATGTAGAAGTCATCATTTAAGCATGGAAGGCATAACAACAACCAAACTATTTGCAAAACAAGGACTCACGGTCATGCTAGACACCAATGTATAGATACTCGTCACCATGTCTATACATCGTACTCGACAATTAGCAAGTTACAAATAAGACTCAACTCCTATTCCCTCAAGCTAGGGTTAAACCAAACACTTACCTCGATGCTTTGAACTCAACTCAAGCCTCAACTATAGCTTTACCCCGTGATTCCACCTCCAATCCGCTCGAATCTAGCCATAAATTACTTAATTACTTTAATAAACACTAAATGAATCAATTTGAATGCATAAAAATAAATTTTCTGAAGTTTTTCCCAAAATTCCAAAATCGCCCCCGGGCCCACGTGGTCAAAACCCGAAGTTCGAACCAAAACTCGGTTACCCATTCCCCCACAAACTCAAATATGTACTTTGTTTTGAAATCGGACCTCAAATTGAGGTCCAAATCCCCAATTTTTGAAAAACCTAGGTTCTACCCAAAACCCCCAATTTCACTCATGAAAATCATTGATTCTAAGTGAAAAACATGTTAAATGATGTTAATGAGTGAAAGAATTAAGTAAAAATCGACTTACAAATGATTTGGGATGAAACTTGTTCTTGAAAAATCGCCTAAGGAGTTGTATTTTGAAAGTGGGGTGAAAAATAGCCTAAAATTCGACTAAGTATGAAAATTGCTAGGCTGCAGATATGGGAATTGCGAACTGACCAAATGTGGGAATTGCGAACCATAGTTCGCATTTGCGAACTCAGACCCATCTAGAGACCTTCGCATTTGCGAATAAGGCCTCGCATTTGCGAACACTTGACCTTCGCTTTTGCGAAGGATTTCATCGCATTTGCGATCCAAAGCAGGCCTGGGCTGGTTTCGCATTTGCAATCCAGCCTTCGCATTTGCAAGTTCGCATTTGCGAAGCCTGCAGGCCTGATCATACCAGATTTTTTTTTAAGTTTAAAAATGCACTCCGACACCTACCCAAAACTCACCCGAGCCCTCGGGGCTCCAAACCAATCGCCAAAATAATATCATATACATCGAATCAAGCCTCAAAACTCATGATTTCTTCCAAATTTTCATAAAACATCAATTTTCCATTTTTAGTCCGAAACGCGTCAAGCGACGTCCATTTTCAACCAAACTTTACAGAAAGCGCTTAAACCATATATAAGACTTGTACCGGGCGCCGGAACCAAAATACGAGCCCGATACCATAGTCTTTTAATCAAATTTCATTTTCATTTTCCTTAATCATTTCCTGAAAACAATTTCACACAAAAATTCATTTCTCGGGCTTGGGACCTCGGAATTCGATTCCAGGCATACGCCCAGGTCCCATATTTTCCTACGGACCCTCCGGGACCGTCAAATCACGGGTCCGGGTCCGGGTTCGGGTCCGTTTACCCAAAATATTGACCGAAGTCAAATTTATCCAATTTAATATCAAAATTCAGCATTTTTCTCACAGAATTCATATTTAAGCTTTCTAGCTACGCGCCCGGACTGTGCACGCAAATTGAGGCAACCCCAAATGAGGTTTTCAAGGCCTCGGAAGTATAGAATGGGTAAAAACACAGGTGATGACCCTTTGGGTCGTCACAGTAGCTCTGGAGTTAGCTGGTTCTGAGACTGAGTGGCTAAGAAACTTCTTAGCTAATATCCCTTTAATAAAGGACGTATTGCCTCCTATATCTATGCATTGTGATTGTCAAGCGGCAATAGTTATTGCAAAGAATAAATCTTATAATTGTAAAAGTAGACACATGAAATTGAGACATGATGTCATAAAACAGTTGTTGAGTAATTTTCATTGACTATGTGAAGTCAGAGATAAATTTGGCCGATCCTCTGACTGAACCCGTGGGAAGAAAATTAATAACCTCAAAAGAGATGGGGTTAAGGCCGACATGTTGTCAATAGAGATGGAAACCCAACCTATGTGATTGGAGATCCCATGAAGCAGGTTCGTATGGGTAATAACAAGTCGATATTGGCACTGAAGCACTAAAAGAGAGTGCTTGACTGCTACTAATTGAGAGGCTGAGTTATAACTCTTAATGAAATTCATAGTCCTTATGAATGGTATATTTAAAAGCAGTATACACTTGATGAATTCACCTATATGAGAGTGGAGTGGACCGCTCCTATGAGATTTTGGCCTAGTCTCTAGAGCTCTCATGAATAACCAGGCTCGCGCATGACCTATTGGGCGCAAAATCGCGTTGAACAGCAAAATTACCCGGGGTCAAAATGTGATTGGTTCATAGAAATATTACATTTCACCAATAGTTGTGTGAATTAAATTTTATTGGTCTAAGTTTGGTTCATAGTCCAGAAGACACCAAACCCTATTACATTTGGACCATTCAAATCCAACAAGTTTATTTTTGGGTCTTTAAAATAGTGGGGGACTATGGCAATATTTCAAAGGTTTTGGACAAGTGTCTTAGCCATTCTAGAAGGCTATGTTAAGTGGCAAAAGAAGTGTAAAAAGTGGCAAACTTGATCAGTCACTTTCTTGTCATGCACAACAAAGTTATATGTAATTACAATTATAAATAGCCATCATTTGGCTGCACAATTCATCCATCATCAGAAGTGCTTTTCTACTTAGCCTTCTTCTCTTTCTCTCTTAGCTTCTCTTATTTCCAATTTTTCTTATAAATTTTCTTTGTCCTATTCTCTTTTCAATCTTGTTGGATTATTGTAATATAGCTGATTCATGTATCCTCTAAATAAAATAGAGGTAAGCTTGTTTAATTCTGGAGAAATATTTCACACTGCTGAAATAGTTTCTTAGGAGAGTGCCCAGCACGACTCAAGCTAATTCGTGTATCTGCTTACAAAGAATATTGAAACAGTGTTATTGAAATTATTGCTCTCAATTACTACACACACTACCTTCTCAGACCTCACTTGTGGGATTATATTGGATTTTTTGTTGTTGTTGTTGTTGGTCAGTAAAGATTTATATAGCCTACCCTAACTTGTTTGGGATTGAGGCATAGTTGTTGTATTGACCGGAAAGAGTGGCTACCTTTGTTTCTGAGGATGCATTTTCTCCCCTTTCCTATTGTTGCTTTTAGGGCTTAATGAGTCTAGTCATCTGACTTTGGGAATTAATCTATGTATGTTTACATGTTTGATTTAGCAACCTCAACCCCTGATTAGTTTCTTCTCAGTAGTGATGCTTTATTATTTCAGACTCTGAGCTACTCATATTATGCTCCTTTTTTTCCTTTAAAACTAACATGCTTTGTGATAGTGTCTTTCTTATCAGTACAAATATTTTTGAAGCCGATACTATTTACCTTATACTCATTATGACATCAGAGGTGGCCTTGAAGCTGATTATTGTTTTGCTAAATTTTGTACAGAATGACTATGGAAACTACAGCTCCACATTCTACCCCTGCTGCACAAGTGATTGGAAATGCTTTTGTTGAGCAGTATTACCAAATTCAACACCACACCCCGGAGTTAGTATACAGATTTTATCAGGATTCAAGCTTCTTAAGTCGCCCAGATTCTAATGGCTTGATAACATCCGTGAAAACAATGAAAGTGAGTATAACTGCAATTCTTACTGTAGCAGGAAGGAAAAAAAGAGTTAACTATGGCTAAAAAAGAATTAACTGGGATAATAACTTCTATCTGTCGTTGGTCTGTAACATAATAGGTGCTAGTTCACAAAGAGAGTTTTGCACCTTCTAAATCATGCTCATAGAGTTAAGTAGCCTAGAAGATATTAAATTCTAGTTTGAGAGATCTTGCATGTCGTGATTGCTATTGCTGAAAGTAGGTTGTTTGAATTAAATTGTTTTCCAATTATCTCTCCGGGAGAGATAAAATACGGTCGTCTAGAAAATATGGTTTTTTGGAACTCACTTCATCTATTCTATGGTAAGTAATAAATTTGTTTGAACTGGTCTAATAAGTACACAGTTCTCTTTTTTTCTCTAATAATTTGATACCCAAAGGATATCACGCAGCAACTGAAGGATGTAGCAAAGGAGAAAAGAGGAGAAAAGAAGGGAAAAGAAGAGAAGAGGAAGTAGAAGAAGAGAGAAAGAGGGATCAGAAGAGAGATTTGCGACGAAATTTTCTTATATTCAATAATTGCTTTTCATCTATTACCATTCACTATTTAAAGCAAAAGGAATTGAAATGCAATGCTGAAAATCAAAAATAACAACTAACAAATTTTCCCGCCATTAACTAACTTTTCAAATTTCAACTAACACATTTGAAAAATCCTACTTGGCATCCTACTCAGCTACCAAGTCAGCATTTCGTGTATCATAATTTCCATTCATTTTGTTTTCCAATAATAATAAGCAGTTTAATGTAAAAAAGTTGGACAATTTCAGTTATAGAAGAGCTATGGATGTTAATTGCCAATTTACCATCAACATCTTTCGTGAGTCTTCATTCTTAATTTTATGTTGTGGTTTGGTATCTTTGATAGGTTCAAGCAACAACACACTCTTTCTTCTTTCTAATAGCAAATTGTCATAAGAAAATATCTTCTTGTTTTGTTGACAGAGGTCTATTGTTACAATTAAAGAAATACCAGTGGAAGTTAATTGATTTCATATCCTGCAATTCTTACAGATTTTTCACCATTCTTTTTGTTGGAGCAGAGCATCAATGACATGATATGCTCATTGGACTACAAGAACTACAAGGCAGAGATTAAGACTGCAGATGCACAACAGTCCTATAAGGATGGGGTGATTGTACTGGTAACTGGATCTTTAACTGGAAAGGATAACATGAGAAGGCAATTCACCCAGACATATTTCCTTGCTCCACAGGACAAAGGGTACTATATTTTGAATGATGTTCTTAGGTATGTAGAAGGAAATGATACTGTTAACAGTTCAGAAATTGTCAATGGAGTGGAGGATGTACCACCCGTGCAGCATATGACGTCCGATCCAGGTTGGATCTTTTGTCAAATTGTACAACTTTTCTTCCCTTTCCTTTTCAAATTGCTAACCTGCCTTGTTTTTTTACTGTAGAACCAGCCGATGTGCTTGATCCTCCGAATCACAGACAGACGAGCTCTCATGCAGCAGAAGAAATTCAAGTTGTTGACGAAGTAGTACATGGTTCTTTGGAAGGTGAGAGACTAGTTGGTGATAAAAGAGAGATTGTGGTGGAGGCTGAATCCCATATTATTGAGAGCCATAATTCTGAGAATGCAGAACCAGCTACTTCAGTTTCCCAAGAAGATGCTCCTAAGATATCCTATGCATCAATTGTAAGTTCTGAAACAAAGAAAGGGCCCACCAAAATCTATGTACCCGCTAATTCAAGAATGGTTCCTTCAAAGGCAAGCTTCTGCTCCTCAATCATCAATTCCTACTGCCGCCGGTGGTAATGTACCTGAATCTAAAGTTTCCCAGGCCGGAGGTATAATATCAATAAGAAGTCATGAACTATATCATTATTCTTATTTTCATTTGTGAACCGTCCTTTGCCGGGGCTGCTAAATTGGGATAGGATTTTCATATTTGATTTTAGAATGTGACTGAAGTAGACGAGTGTTTGAGGTTTTCTTCATATTATGGGCTATTGCATCTACTTGCATTATCATATATGACTGTTTATCCATTGTCTTCATTTCTTATTTTTTACAATCTTATTAATAGTGTTGTTCCCTCTAATTTTTACTTCTGATTTTTGCAGCTGAGGAGCACTCCGTTTACGTCCGCAATTTGCCTCTGAATGTTGCTATTGCTCAACTTGAGGTTGAATTTAAGAGATTTGGACCCATTAAGCAAGGAGGTGTACAAGTTAGAAGTAATAGGGTTGGTCCAGAAAGCATATTGTACACATCGCGGTCCTCTTTGTTTACTTAGTTTTATAGATATTTAACACAGTATCTGTGGATTTTCCTTTTCTACAGCAACAAGGATTCTGCTTTGGGTTTGTTGAATTTGAAGATTTGAGCTCCATGAACAGAGCAATACAGGTTTGTTCCCTCAAGTCTTTTTTAAATGGGCTATCTTCATGTGAAGTTAAAATCTGTCCAGCATTCAAATGTCGTCTTAAGATTAGTTGCCTTGTTAGTTACACTAGTAGTCATACCCGCGCTGCGCGTCAATATTAAAAAAATATTTGTCACTTTGTTAATTTTTCGATGTTACATTTGGAATTATCACAATTATTTGATTATCCTAATCTATATAAATAGAATAGATATTGTCTAAATTTTAATAAATAAAATCTCCATTAAATTAAAGGGACTTATATAGTCATCAAATAATTTTTTCGTCATGTACTTTTATTTATTATATTATCCAATATTTAGTATAATTATATTGTTAATAGAAATTATGACACTTGTCATTATAACATTTCTTTGCCTCTCCTATTACATATATATAGATATAGATTTCTTTGACTCTCCTATTATATATACTATATATTATATATTATATTATACTATATATTATACATATATTATATTATATTATATATATATATATATATATATATATATATATATAAATAGATTTTTCGTTTTTTTATTTTAAAATAATTTTAAAACTCTGATTTGAAACTACTCCCCAATTTGNTAATATATATATATATATATATGTTAGTTTTTATTTTATTTTATTATTTTCATTTTTTATATATATATTTAAATTCAAAAATAATAACCAATAACTTTTGTTCTATATTTTTCTTTATTATATTAGCCATTGTTTAGTATTCGCTTTCTTTTTGTAATATATGAGAAGATATATAATTTATTACTGATGAAATATTTTTTTGTTTTAAATTTTATTCTGTTGTTCTTAATAATATTATCTAAATTTTAATGAATAAAATCTCTGTTAAACTGTCGGGACTTATACAGGGAGCGCATTGAATAAATTTTTTGTTATGTATTTTTCTTTATTATATCATCTAATATTTAATATTATTACATTTTTAATAGAAATATTTATTAGCATATTACTTTATTTAATATTTTTCTCTGAAAGTTTTTTAATTTCTTTATTTTCGTTTTTTTATTTTAAAATAATTTTTAAAACTCCAATTTGAAACTACTCCCAGATTTGAATTGGTAATTCATTATTTTTTTTATTTTATTTTTTATTTTAAAACTCCAACTTGAAACTACTTCCCGATTTGAATGGGTAGTTTTTCTTCTCTTTTTTTCGTTTTTTATTGGTATTTTTTATTTTTTTTGCTTTTTATTTTAAAATAATTTAAAAACTCAAACTTGAAACCACTCCCACCCAATTTGACTGGGTAATTATTTTTTATATATTTATTTTTTATTGTTTTTTATTATATTTAATTATAAGATATCTATATTTATTAAATCCAAATAAAGTAACCAATTAATATATATATATGTATGTTAGTTTTTATTTTATTTTATTATTTTGTGTTTTTTATATGTATATTATATATAAAAGATTTTTCATTTTTTTATTTAAAATAATTTTAAAACTCCAATTTGAAACTACTCCCCAATTTGAATTGGTAATTCACTATTTTTTTTAATTTCGTTTTTTATATTAAAATAATTTAAAAACTCAAACTTGAAACTACTCCCACCCAATTTGAATGGGTAGTTATTTTTTATATATTTATTTTTCGTTTTTTATTTATATTTAGTTATAAGATATCTATATTTATTAATCCAAATAAAGTAACCAATTAATATATATGTTTTATTGTATTTTATTATTTTCTTTTTTGATATGCATTTAAATTCAAAAATAAGTAACCAATAACTAATTATAAACTAAATAACTAATTAGTAACCAATTATGCCATGTGGCATTTTTTTAGGCTGCCACTTGGCTTAAGGAGAGGGTTTTTTCCTCTCCTTTTAATAATATATAGATAGATATAGATTCCATAAGGGTTTTTTCTATTAGCTCAGTAACTCCATTCTCTTATGCCAGCCTTACCTCAATTCCCTTCTTCGCCTCAACAGCTAAAGCATCCCTTTCTGCAGCTCCTGGAACAGCCGAAGAATCTGGAGTTTATGATTCCAATCCTGAGGCAGGAGAGGGATCTTTATAGCTCAGCTGGAGTGGATTATTCTACTATTTTTCAGTTACTTCCGCTACTGATAAACCTTTTTCAGTTGAATTAAGAGGGCTACCATTTGGCATAAGGAGAGGGCGTTATTCACTCCTTTTAATAATATATAGAAGATATATAGAATATAGAATATTAGAAAGGAACTACTCCACAATTTGAATCAAAAGTTTTTTATTGCTTTATTTTTATTTTTTATTTTAAAACAATTATAAACTCCAACTTGAAACTACTCCCCAATTTGAAATGGTAATTTTTATTTTTTTTATTTCATTTTTTTATTTTAAAACTCCAACTTGAAACTGCTCACCGATTGAATGGATAGTTTTTCTTCTTCTTTTTTATTGGGCGACCAATATTGGTCGCCAATGGCAAGAATTAATTTTTTTTTAACTATAAGCGAACAACCTTGGTCGCAAAATTATCAGAAAATTATTATTTTTTAAGTGAATAGCGACCAACTGGACACCAAAGTTGGTCGCTTTTTTGGTATATTTTTGGCAGAAACTGCCTGTTTTGGCTACTACACCACCTGCCAGCTTATACCAAATATCCTAAACAGGCATTTTATGCCAGCAACAACAACACTAAAACGCAACAAAATATAAAGATCAATAGCACTAAAACATTAAGCTAACAAAATTAAGTTAACGTTTATTACAAGCTCATTCGAAAACTAGTTCTATTGTCTAGTTCAAAGTATATAAAGTACTCAAGGAGTGTTCTTTTAGCATCCTCGTTCGAAAGTTGGATTACCTCGGCCGACTCGTTAGGTGGCTGACTTCATATGAATTCCCCCACATCAGCTCTGAAGCGAACCTATAAGAAAAATTATATTGAATTAATATTTCAAAATTTATATAAAAGTAAATCAAAATACTTAATGATAAGTAAAAAACTTACATGTATAGTCGAGGCTCGACCCTCGACCCACTTTTCTGAATTAGTCTCTTTCTTCTTCTTTACAATACGAGTTTCATTGAATAGCTCATCTTGCTTCATTGGCATCATAAAGTTGTCCGGTGGCTTTGGTGATTATCCTCATGGTACTATTACTCGGGATGAACTTGGATACAGAGAATAACTTGGATACAGTAGCTGACAGGGTGTGTCTTTTGATCAATTGTTGTTCTCGTTAGCGACAATGATGTTGAGACTGAAATGATATGTGTTTCAACTAGAGATAGTATAGGCAGGAATTTTAACATTTCCTAAGTAGATAAAAGAAAGATTATAGAGGAACTCTCTACTTCATTTTCCAAGGAGAAAAAAAGCTTAATTGAGAGTGACAAGGGTGATGGTGATGGAATATTTTCCGTTGGTCATGGCAGTTCCCATAAAACGGGGATCATAAGACTCTATGATGACAAAGATTATAGGAAGTTTTGTTCTCAACTTTCTTCCAAGTCTGATCCGTACAAGCTTAATGGGATATTGGTGATATATTCTTCTGAATCCGAAGAATATATCACAAATATCCCACTAAGCTTGTACGGATCAGACTTGGAAGAAAGTTAAGAACAAAACTTCCTATAATCTCTGTCATCATAGAGTCTTATGATCCCCGTTTTATGGGAACTGCCATGACCAACGGAAAACATTCCATCACCATCAACCTTGTCACTCCCAATTAAACTCCTTTTCCTCTTGGAAATTGAAGTATAGAATTCCTCTATTACCTCTTCTTTTATCTACTTAGGAAATGTTAAACTCCTACCTACACCATAACTATTTGAAACACATGTTCTTGCCTTCTCATCATCGTTGTCGCTAATGAGAAGAACAATTAAAGGCACACTCTGCCAGGTACTGTGTCTTAGTTATTCTTGGTGGAAGTTCCATTGCATGTCTAATATTACCATCAACCCCTTCTACAAAATCCTCCCGCAATATAAAATTCCAATACATAAACCAAAATTTTAATTCATATCCTAAAGGTTCAACTCATATCCAAAAAAATTCAATTTATAATCTAAAATTCCAATTCATAAACAAAAATTCCAATTCATATCCTAAAGGTTCAATTCATATCCTAAAGGTTCTAGTCATATCCTAAAATTTCAAGTCATATCCTAAAATTCCAAGTCATATCCTAAAATTCCAAGTCATATCCTAAAATTTCAAGTCATATCCTAAAATTCCAATTCATATCCTAAAGGTTCACGTCATATCCTAAAGGTTCTAGTCATATCCTAAAAATTCAAGTCATATCCTAAAATTCCAATTCATATCCTAAAATTTCAAGTCATATCCTAAAATTCCAATTCATAAACTAAAATTCCAATTCATATCCTAAAGGTTCAATTCATATCCTAAAGGTTCTAGTCATATCCTAAAGGTTCTAGTCATATCCTAAAAATTCAAGTCATATCCTTAAATTCCAATTCATATACTAAAATTCCAATTCATAAACTAAAATTCCAATTCATATCCTAAAGGTTCTAGTCATATCCTAAAGGTTCTAGTCATATCCTAAAAATTCAAGTCATATCCTAAAATTCCAATTCATAAACTAAAATTCCAATTCATATCCTAAAGGTTCTAGTCATATCCTAAAGGTTCTAGTCATATCCTAAAAATTCAAGTAATATCCTAAAATTCCAAGTCATATCCTAAAATTCCAATTTATAAACTAAAATTCCAATTCATATCCTAAAGGTTCAATTCATATCCTAAAGGTTCTAGTCATATCCTAAAAATTCAAGTCATATCCTAAAATTCCAATTCATATCCTAAAATTCCAATTCATAAACTAAAATTCCAATTCATATCCTAAAGGTTCAAGTCATATCCTAAAGGTTCTAGTCATATCCTAAAAATTCAAGTCATATCCTAAAATTCCAATTCATATCCTAAAATTTCAAGTCATATCCTAAAATTCCAATTCATAAACTA